TTGGAAAAATTTATAACAGTGAAATGGTAAACTTATTAGTACTCCCTTTCTAAAAATGAGAACCGCGTTGTTATTATTATTATAATTATTATTTTCATAATTAAACTACTATTACCTATTATATTACTCTCTATCTATATTAATTTCTCACAAATCTACATTAGAAGTATTAAAATCATTTCGTAAAACGAATCCTTTTGAAAACACAGAACATGTAATTTATTTATTTAAAAAAAAGAGAAAAATGCGTGTAAATATGGCGATAGCCACTTCAATTAATTTTCGTTTTAAAATTTATATTAATAATATAAAAGATTACGTAAAAATATATATCGCAAAAGTAAATATAAACATAGAACACTTTTTGATTTAAATCAAGATAATCTAATTTGAACACAACCTCCAATGTCAATTTGTGAGTAGCATTATCACTTGTGACAGAACAGTTGAGGTTGTTGCGTCTTGTGTGGTCTTCTTGCATACATGACCAAAGTGCACATTAAGGTATTGAGGACCTTTACGACTAATGAGTGGTTTTTAAGTTACCGAAGCGCAGACATGAAATGATTTTACACGTCGTAATAATGACTTGTAGAAATACAGAAAGAAGCATGAATCTTTTAAACAAGATCGTGAGAGTTTTCTCATATTAAAAAGAAATTTACTCTAGTAGAAATTGTCATTTTATTGATTTGGAATGCTATTTTTTATCCATTCATTCTTCCTTTATAAAGTAATTATCCTGTGAGTGTCGTTAGAACAATACACCATTATTTTGGCCTTCAAAGGTTATAGAAAAGCAAATGATTTTTTAGAGGTCGCGGACTTTCCTTTCAACAAACATTCATTACATTGGAGAACATTTTTTTCTCTGTTGCAGGAGAATTTTTTATTTTTTTTTGGCTGATCTTAGATATTTTCGTATCACTGATTTCAAGTCCTGCAAAAGGTTAACTCTCCAAGCTACAATTTCTTTAAGATAACATTTTTAATTCCAAAACGTACAAGTTTTGAAACGTTATATTTGACAAGAGGTCGCGTAAATGTTACTTCTAGGGGAGTTAAGTCACATCCTCTGGATTAGAATTACATCGAAACCCATCCCCGGAAATGTTGTCATACGCCGTTAGGGACGCTTCGTTATTATAAAGTGTTTCTTCATGGGCATCTGAATTTCTCATGATAGTGGAAGTGCCCCAAGCATTGTGGGATGACATTTCTGGTTATGGGTTCCTATGTAGGGATGCCACAGGCGACAAAAATGGTAGAAACTTAATTTATTTTTATTTATTTATTATATCTTTAATTAATCAATCGCAACCACTACTAGAACTTATATTTTACATTACTCATACTTAAACTAAAGACTTTCTTCGCATTTACTTTCAATTGTAAACTGAAGAAAGGTGCTATAAAAGGTTGCTAACTTTAATCTCTTTCAATAAAATGTTGAGTTTTATTAGTCACCACTTTTTGCACTTTTAGTTTCCCGTGGCAACCTTGCAATGCAATTTAAACTCTGTTGATGTGCCCTAACTCCCCTAAAAGCATATCGCAGCATTTATGAGACCAACTGTTTTATGTAACCTTTTTAAACTTGTACATTTTGACAAAAAAATAAACTAAAAATGTCATTTAAAATAAAATCACTACTTTTCTGAAACTATATAATTCTCTTTCTCGGTTCATAGTAGTAAAAGCCTGTTGTGCAGGTTTTCATGAAAGATTTCATTCTTGTATTTAAATTGCTAGCGCAATTTATGCTTTACTATTTCTACTTCATTTCATAAATTTGATTGAAAATTATTTTGACCAATTTAACCGTTTAGATTTAGACATTTTTCTTTAAGGCTTTTTCCCATTGTTGCAAAATAAGAGCCCGGCCCTTTAAACAACAATATAGAAGTTTTTAGCAGGCATTAGTATTCGAAATTTAAAATAATTCTGCTTAGAATAATCAAAGTAATAGTTACTTCACTAAAATGTTCTTCAAAAAGTGCAAATAGTATGTACTACTCACACCGAAACAATTCTTTACTTAGAGTACCTTCGACAAGACCTTCGTATTTAGGAGTGGAAAATTTACCGAATTCTTCAAAGAGTTTCTAAGGATTTCTCTATGATTATTTTGCCTTGGACTGTTGAAGTAGATGAAAAACTCTTTACGGTTAAAGACATAATTGTTGTTTTTATTACTGTTATGAGTCATCGACTGTTTTCTCTTAATCTTAGTATATTATTATTATTTATTCACGGTTGTGTGCAACAAATATTAGATGCAGTAGTTTCTCATGATTTATGAAAGAGCTGTTGGTTTAAGAAGAATTTTTTTATAAAATAACTTCATTATTTTGTTTCTCAGTTGAAATTTCACTATGAAAAATTGTTTTAGTAGCATAGTTTAATATTCATACAATAGTTTAAAGTGAAGTTAAATAATAGTTTAAAGCAGAATTTCATACTGCGAAATAATAAATGGATTTTTAAGGAAACTCTTCTGAAAAAACTCATATGAATCCTGACATTTTTATAAAGTCCAGAATTTTTCAAAAATTTGTATTTATTTAATTTTGCAATGACACTGTACGCAAACATTAAACTCGTTAACAAGTTTTTTTTTTTTTTTTTTTACTTAGCTGCATACATTTTTTATAATAAAATCATAGATAGAAATATTTGTTGCTCCAGTTTTTATGTTTTTGGTAAAAAAATACTTGCTGCCATTTTCTTGCAAAGCGGTTTTAATGTAAAAACCCAGTGATCATTGAATTCCTGTCCAAAATCTAGCTCGTCCGTACTCATTCTAACATTCCAAATGTAAGCCTCTTTCGAATCGAAAAAATATTATTCGGCTTGTGAGATACAGTTTGTTAACCACAGGACAAACCTATTTATAACTGCTTAATAAATGTTAAAATAATGCTAAAAGTAACTTCAAAAATAAAGTGTAAATGCATAGACTCTGTCTTTAAATGAACTTCTGTTAATTGTCTATGCGTTGTGCTTATCGTTAGTAAAGTGTACTATGCGTTGACTTCGCTCAATGCGAATTTTTATGTAATTTAAATATTATGGAAGTAAAAACATTATGCTAGTGTAAAATAAAGGTTAACTATTCCTCACTTTTGCTACCACTTTCTCTCTCTTTCTATAAAAGAATTTTTCTAAAAAAACGAAAGGATTGAATGCTGTCGAATTTTTATTAAAAAGCTTTTCTTTTTCGAGGAGTGTAAGAGTTCGCAACATTGCTTATTAAAATTACAGTACGTTGCATACAAATAAAGCCACCTTGTTTTGGGCTGTAAATCAACACAAACTTAGCCAATGAGAACGAAACAAGTATATTATGAAAGTGTCTCTTCAAATATATATTCATAAAGAATAACTCACTTTCTGCCCCTTCTCGACAGGTATAAATACCAATCTCTTTCATGATCACCAACTAGTATAAATATTATAAAAAAATAGACTTCAATTATAATACCTTAAAAAATAATACGTTTTCTCATAGTTAAAATAATTCTTCCTTTCAACATTAAAATCAATTTTTCTATTACGATAAATTTAACCCGAAAGTTTAAAAAACAATAGCAATGAATCAGTCTGTGGAGAAAAAATAATGATCTTTCATATATCAGTTTAAATTATTTCGACGTAGAGAAAGGCAAAATACTTTAAGTTAAATTTTATTAAATTAGTAACACCTTTCCCTTGCTCCCATTAGGAAAAATATTTCCTGAAATTATAGAAACTCAGTAGCAGTTGGAGGGTATGCAAACGTTTTTTGAAATATGACCACTGTAAAAACAATTCAGCATGAGTAATTTTATGTTGTGTTTGTCACAATTATAGTAATTAAATTTTATTCGCTTCTTGGCCTGCTTTCAAAAATATAAAAACTAGAGACGCAATAATTTGGATTAGATATAATATTTATCTTAGATAAGTAAGACATTTGAAAGAACCGAACAATTTTAATGATTTTGAAATCTATAATTGCCTTCGAAACTTTACATTGATCATATGTTGTAACAAAAGTGGTAGATTGTTCCATTGTACAAAGTATACAGCATATTAGCAAACAAACCGACGTAGACTGTGGAAATCGGGAGTGGTTTTAGGCTGGTATCAACCTACAACCACTGAGAATCAAACCAGGTTCACCTATCACGATTCTGCCTGTTCGAAAATAATACTGAAGACAAAAAAACATATGAACTTAACCTATCGCATCACCATTTGAAATGTATTAAAGCATTTTTTTTTCTTCTTACCAAGCCTTACGTACCACAGAAATGAGGAAACTTTTAGAGTTACTTGATTAAAAAAGAAAAAAAAAAAAAAGAGCCTGGTTTGGACTGGTTTGTCTCAAAATACTGCAGCTTGCTCAGAGAGACCGATTGCAGATTTGCTGAAGTGTTTAAGAACTATTTAAAAAGAAAAAGGACTGTTAAGCAACGGAAAACAAAGAAAGTTATTCCCTATTACTTTTATTACATAAACTCTTCTAAATGATTAACTAAAATACTGGAAATCCATTTCCTGGAATTAGGGACATGAATTATCAAACTAGTCTAATTGTCTTAAGCACATACAATTATATGTTTAAATCTTTATAGCTAGTACAAAAAAAAAAATCAATAAGTTTCTTATGCAAGATTAATGTTATGCAAGATTAACGTTATGCAAGATTGTAATTAGTAGCAAATTTGTTACAAGTGACACTATTAAATTCAAATTATTTCTACTTTATTATTCCAGACCCCTAATTTAATTTCTTAAGTGTTGAAAAGAAGGCATAAAAATTAAAATTTTCATTTTTTTTTTCATACAAAAGAGTATCAAGCTTTAATCTCCTGCACGACTCAGTACTTGATAATTTTTGTTTTACTGTAACGCAATTACATTCATCTTTTAAGGTCAGGCTTCTTTATATTTTTCATACTAAAATGGGGAAAGTCCCCAACAAAAAGAAATGAAATAAATTTAAAAAAACTTACCCCACCTAAGGCACTATGAAGCGAATCAGTTCTTTGTTCAGTACATGTTTCATTTGATTCCTTTTCTGCAAAGAATAAAAACATTGATCCCCTGCTGCTCTTTTTTCAACACATCATTAATCTCGATCTTTACGAACAAATCTATTTGCGTCTAACGTTATAATGAAGTTATTATTGCAAGAATTAATACAAACGAAAACAAATTCATATTGCAAATTCTCTTCATATCTCAGTGTTTGGTATTTTCAAATTGATCAATACAACCGAATTTAAGTTACAATAAGCATGAAATCGCATATTTTACTAATTTTGTTTTTACTGGACGTATATGAGACAAACAATCCGGGCACATCAAACGCGTGTATAAATTAGTTTTTGGGCTTGGTCAAAAGTACCTTTATCCCTGTTTTTCTTCACCTATTTTCAGTTTTTTTTTTTTTTTTTTTTTTTAAAGTAACAGCAAAATTTGTTTCCAAAGTAACAGAATTTTTTTTTTTCAACTTACCCAATAATTGAGTGGTGATCGCAAAGTTATTCAGATTAAGTTCTTGGAGACAGGCGAGGGTGGGGACAATTAAGGCAAGAAAGTAAAACTGTAGTCAAACTATATCTTTAACAGTTCCTTTGTATGCGAGGTAATCATTTTCAGAAAACTTTTGAAATATCATAGGTATATTTATTTCAATCTCTTGAAATTTTTTAAAAGTAAAAAATGTTTTTGTGAAAAGCAAAAGAAACTTTCAAAAATCGAAAATTAAGTAAAAATAAACATCTCATCTTTTTTTCTTCTTTTCTGTTTTAAAGTTTTCCTTTTCTGTCGAACTTACCATACTTCAAGGAACTACATTTACGAACAATTGAACTACCTTGAATTTTTCAAGTTCTGATGATATCAAACAGAGAAAAAGTCAAGTTTCCCAACAGTGAACAAAGTAAGACAGAAATTGTAATTTAACTTCAGTGCATGCGGCAATAGAAGAATTTTCGTCATTATAATACTTCAGTCAATTCATTCGTTATAGTTCGCGTGAATTGAAAAGTCTAAAAGAAGAAAAACAGAAACAGAAAAAAAACAGAAAAAAATAAGATTTTTACAGTTGTTTGCAATATATTTAAGTTTGCGGCACCTCTTTATACATATTTTCATGGCACGTGCGCATGTTCGGCTTAAACGTTTTTAACCCTTAATATCAACTCCATGGGACAAAATGACCTGTGTATACAATAGTGCTGAACTATTAAGGGTTGAAATAATAAAACTTAAAATCGTTAAAGCTGGGAAACTCACATCAACAAAAACCTTTTAAGTCTCAGCGTAAGCATCTTTGTTTGAAATTGTAGCTGAAGTAAATAAAGAAAATGAACAAATAGACACTTTGTACAATTTCTAATTGGAAAAAACTGACAAAACTAGAAAGCACGACGTCACATCCCGCCTGAAAGCAATGAAGAACTTTGATTTTCAGCAATCAGTAAAGCAGATTTGTTTCGGTTGGCAAAGTTGTCTTTAAATTACATTGGTTGAATCCTCTTTTAACAACATGTCCCAATGCAATAATAGAAGGGTCTGAGAAAACTAATTCAAATTATCCAACCACAGGATTTCGATTTTTAAATTAATTACCAACCGATACTACAAGTAATAATGGTAAACCGAAAATAGTCTTCATTAGCGATGATTATAAGTCGCTTCTTTCCAAACTACGATAATTATTGGCTTGCTTGTTTAATGGCGATTTAATGTTTTCTGAAAAAGTTATTCTATAATAAAGACTACGCGATGCACCGTTGACCAGCAGCCGATTAAACGCTTGGATGATTATAATTTGTGAGGAGTGTCGAATTAAGATTACCAGACGTCATCTTAAATCGAAGAAGACATGTCGGATAATCTTAAAACGAGTTCGAAGATTTGTTTCGTAAAGTTATTATGTGAGCGAAACCCACATATAATTGTTTGTAGTATAAACATTTGAATTGTAGAAAATGTCAACTGTTAAATTGCTTGAAAACAATTGGTTGAGATGAATTGTAATTTGAATAATCCATATTTATTTACGTTATACGACATTAAGCATTGTTTCGAAATGAAATATTTACATCAATAAAAGATGGAGTTTGTTATGCCAAATTAAAAATACGGAATTAATACACAGGAGGTTGCATTTATACAAATACTTGATCTTTCCTGTGGGGATTTCAAATCTGAAATTAGTTTTGCTCCTGAAGATGGTTTTTTAATGACATTTTAATAAATTTTTCGTCGTAATATACAAGTTTTAATCCTGATGATGTGCCCTAACTCTTAGAAGTTTATGATTACCCCTAACGTTTTTAAACATGCGCATTTTGGCAAAATATAGAGTAAACATTTCAGGAACTTAAAGGAATTATCTAAAATCGTATGTTTTCGGATTTTAAGTTATAAGTTTGAGCTACTTGTAAAATAAACAGTTTGCAATTAAAAGATGATTTATACTTTCAGTCAAATATTTGAGCCATTAATATTGGAAAAAAAATTTACAAAAATAAAGTTTTTTTTTTTTTTTTTTTTTTACGAGAAAGTTATATTTTAAAGTTTCACAGTTTCTATTACTGATAATTGAAAAAAAAAAAAGAAAAAACATTAAGAGAACGAAAAAAAATTTGATGGAAAATAAAATAATAATACAATATGGCTATTAGGTAATAGTATAATTTGTTTTTATTTAGATGCATAATAGATTGTTATGTAACGTATATTTATTAAAATGCATAAATCATACTTGTAAATAAATAATTATGTCAAAAATGATTTCCGATAAAAGTCGAAAATAAGGTATAATAAATGTAGGGATATAAAAAGACATTAAAGAAGATATTTTTTCTGGAGATTTCTGTCAATATTCATTACGAAAACTTTGGTCGATACAGATTCAGTAACATTTTTTTATCTTTCTTAAACACACATTAGTCACGCAAGTCTTGACGTAAATACATCGAAATATCATTAGTGAAATGTATAAATACAAGCATTGATTTTTGGTGTCCTATAATATTAAATAACAAATGAAATTTTCTCTTCACAAATTCATTGTCAAATATTTTTTGACGTATTGTTCAGAGTGCGCAGTAAATAGTAATAGATAACTTGTTCATATTTTTTCATTCCTTAAAAGATAATGTAAAGCACATTATATAAATAGCAACATCATCACTCACACGACAGCTCAGGGTGGGCCCTGGCCTTCTCGAGTATTCTCTTCCATTCTGATCTACTCTCAGCAACTTTTCTCCGGTTTTTTAAATTACAATCACGTGAAAACTTCTTTAAGGATAGAAAAAAATTTCTATTATGATTTTCGGACAATTATAACAAGTTTTTCTTTTATTTCTCTTTAAGTTATAAATAATTTTTGTATTAAATTTATTAATTAAATTGGTATTGAATGCGTGAAGAGGTTTTTGTGCATTTTGAACGCAGTGTTTCTTTTATATTAAAAGCAGAGTCACCAAACTAGGCATTTCCTCACGAATATTAAAATTGGTAATGACGTCGTAAGCATATAAATCTTAAATTTTTGAAACTTTTGCCAGCAAAAAGTTTTTAATATATATCAAGTTCAGAGCTGACAAAGTTCCTCTAGTAGTATCAAAATTTACATTTTAATGTAGGATTCCTGATATAGTAAAGGACTCTGCGCGAATTAGTTCTCCGTCAAATTTGCTGAAAACTTAATATGTTGTAGTTCAAAACACTCTGATCAAAAGTTCTCATTCACACAAAGACCAAAAATTGATAATTTCCGAGATACGAAACCTCGAATCATAAATAGTAATTCGTAATTCTCTAATTCCGTTACGACATTAGCATTAACTAAAGAGAATGAAAAATATAGTTAATAATGAACTTTTAAATAGGAATTGAAAGTTATTTTAGGTTACGAAAAACTAGTAGCGTGTCAACACTGAATGAATAGTTAGCATAACTTTTCTTCACATTCACCTCTAAACCAATGTCCACTACAGTTTCATTACAGTCCATAGTGACCGTTGACCATGTCTCTTATGTTCGAGGCAACATATCACCGAAACTATCTATTTCTGGACTTGGTGTCAATGAAAACTTTTGCTTAGAATGTTTTGAACTAAAACATATTAAATTTTCAGCTAATTTGACTGAGAATTTATTTCCATATGATTTGTGCGGAATCCTTTGATTTAAAACTATTTCACCCACTAGTATATATGTAGAATCCAAAAGTTCATATAAGATACCAACTTTATACTTTCGTGTTGAGCCTTTTAAGGTTGTTTCAAAATTAATCAAAGTTCTGTTGATTTCTATACTCGATCACTTTAAGAAATTTTCGGCAGAAGAGAAAGCAATTGGATTCTTTGTATCTGCATTCGTAGAATAAATATTCTTATTTTAGAGATAAATTTTTTATAGCTTTCTGTTGGCTCAGGGGATAGAGCATTCACCTTAAAATGAGGTGAACAGGTTCGAATTCCAACGATGGCTGGCCGATATGAATTCAGCACCAGCTTGCACATACCACAGTGCTGATGTTAAGTATCCTTAGTGGTAGACGGATCAGGGCCATCATGCTAACCGTGGGAGGTTTTCCTCTCCATATACCGCAAATGTGGGTTAGTTCCATGAAAAAGTCCTTAATCAAATTTCTCCCAATACTTGATCAAGAAGGCCTTCGGGATTTGGTTCAAAATTATAAGGCTGCGGAACTGAGCCGTCGTATACCCAAAATTGGGTTAGGTGAGCAACAATGGCTATAAAATAAAATCTTTTACAGCAAGATTTAAATTTTTACAGAAATGTAAAGGTTCAATAAAGTAAAACAATTATAGGACTTAGTAAAAATCTTATGCAAAAGGAATCTGAAATATTATAAATTTAAGTAGTATAATTTATAAAAATATATTTCCTAATCTCATAACAGTTTCGAAATTACGAGCAAATGACAGTTCACAGATATATGAGAAAACAGTTCAGATGGTGAGATCGATAATGAACTGCAACAAAGCCCTTTAATGATGACACAGTTAACAAACTTCTTTTTTTAAA